ATATGGTGGGTTGACCACAGCCGGCAATTAAGGACCCCCCAGCCACTCATTCACTCCCCTCTGCTGCGGGCTGGGGGAGAGAATTAGAAGAGCAAAGATGAGAAAAAGAAAAACTGTCAAGAAAAGACAGTTGAATAAGTTAAGGGGAAAAAAAGGGGTGAGGGTGATCATCAAGTGATACAAAGGCAATCAGCCACCACCTCCCACCATCAGTCCCCAAGCAACAGCTGCCTTGGAAAAGCTACCCCCAGTTTTTATTGCTGAGCATGACGTTATGTGGTATAGAATATCCCTTTGGTCAGTTTGGGTCAGCCGTCCCAGCTGTGTCTCCTCCCAGCCCCTTGCCTGGTGTGTTATTGGCACTGTTTTAGTCACAAGTCTGAAACGCAGTGCCATACAGGCTGCCAGGAAGAAAATTAACTCCATCCCAGCCAGAGCCAGTACACCCTAGAACCAGATGAAATGCTTTAGTTAACATTCAGATTTGAACCAATCACCGGATCCGATAGATGTGTCATAGGTCTCCTCCGTAATGGTCTATATGTTATTAATGTCCTCTGAGGACTCAGGCAATGCTGTGTGCGTTGAGCATCTTATCTGCATTTGATCTGAGCAAGGGATTCATACTGCATCCATTGGGATACTGGTGCTGTAGATCTGCATACGTTTTACTTCTGGATACCTGTAACTTGCATAGCAGATATTTATTATCTCCCGAATAATGGATTTGCATACTGGAACATGTTAGCCCTAATTTTTCTGTAAATTTATGTTTATGTAATTTTTATGTAAAGCTTGCTTGTACAATTGAAACAAATCTTGCTTAGGTGGCCTATTTATTTAAATACATGTTTATACATGTTACTTTTAAAAAAATACTTACAAATCCTGAATCTGGTTGCACAGTCGTTTAGTCTGTGTGCTAAATAGTAGCACTATATATAGTAAAAGCATTGAAAAAGACATAGTTTTTAGTGTAAAAAGAGTCTTTTTCTGTTTAAACATCTGAATTTATTTCGAATCTTCAAGTAGGAAGATGTCACTTATGACATGTGGGAACTTGTCTGCGAAGGATGTGTTCCTTAGATTTGCAAATAATAGATCTTGAGTCAATTCACTGTAAATAAGTATCCTTGTGATTTGTTTTTAAATATTTAGTAACTTTAGGGCTTTTATTAGTTTGCTGTGTGAGTGTAAAAATGAATGCACTTCAATATTTTAACATTGGTTGTTTATTGTAATTACTCTGTTGTGGAAAAGTAATGTTTTGTTTGAAACAGATTTTGTTCCAAACACATCTGATGATGAAAGGAGGTATAAAATAGGAAACCAGGCAAATGTTGGGCTGTTTAATCTGAGCAAGCTGTTACAAGCTCTAAAACCTTTATTGGATCCCAGGCAAAAGCAGCTGTAAGTAATCCTTAAAATATCTTGACGCTTAAAAGAACTAGTGAGATGGGAGACCCTCAAACCACCATATGGGTGGGAAAGAAAGGGATTAGCTTTTAAAATCTTTTTTTCTAAGTGGAAATTGATTCTGAATTAATTATTGACGAGAAGGTGGAGGGAGGGGAGAAAGGTTTTCATTGGTCATAAATAATAGCAAAATACGACTGGAAGGTGGTCTTAGATGTTGTGTGGTCCATTCTCCTTTCCCTAAGGTAGGACCTTTGCCTATAGTTTTCTATTCTAAGTTTGTCTAGCTTGTTCTTTAAGATGCTTACTTTTGAAGACCAGACATGCTGAAGTAATGAGGTAGTATTTTAATATCCTATTGTAAAGATTCCTAATATGAATCTTTTGTGTGGTTTAAACTCATTACTTCTTACTTGGTATGAAAAGGAAGAACATGGTATTTTTCTTCTTTGCAGCAGCTATTTATGTATTTGAAGCCTGTTAAAATGTTTCCCCTCAGTCTTTTTCCCACTACAGATCCCTGTTGATTCAGAATATCAATGTTTGTGAGATATCAGACAGAAGAAGTTTTCCTTCATTAGTGTACAGTAGGATTGTACCCACAGTAGTATTGTAGTTCCATAGAATTTGACATTTCTTTTGTTTTTGCAGAGCTTCCCAGATTTTGGAGGGATATGGTGAGCGCTATTACATCCGGTATGGAGTTCCAGAACTCAAACGTTGCAGTCAGAATACTATAAATTATGTTATGTGGCAATTTCCTTACTTTGTTGTTATTTTCAGTTTCACAGAACTATTCAAAACAAAATTGGGTCTTCTTGGGGAGAATGAAGATGACAACTATTTGATTGCTTTCCTCCTAAAAGTAAGTTTGTTTTGCTCATTTTCTTGGTAAACATCTGGATCCCATACTTAAAAAAAATCTGATAGACCTATCTTTTTTCATTAGCTTATGGAAGATACAAAGGCTGATTTTACAATGACATTTCGACAGCTCAGTGAAATTACTGAGGACCAGTTAAAGGAGCTCCATATTCCTGAGGTATTAATTAATACAAGCACCAAATTTTAGGAATACTTAATATAAGATGAGTAAATCAGGTTGGATATAACCCTGGTGTACCAGAGAATGTCTCAAGCCATGATTTGCCTGGGAAATGTGTCATTGTAGCATTATTAAGGGACGGGGAGATGTATCTGTGTCATGCTACCACCCCATGTTAAGCCTGTGTCTACTAAGGAAGGATACATTTTTTTTTCATGCCATCATAGAATGGTTTAGTTTGGAAGGGACATTGAAGATCGTCTCGTCCCACCCCCCCTGCCATGGGCAGGGACACCTCCCACTAGACCAGGTTGCTCAAAGCCCCATCCAGCCTGGCCTTGAACACCTCCAGGGATGGGGCCTCAACGACCTCTCTGGGCAGCCTATGCCAGTGCCTCACCACCCTGAAAGTGAAAAATTTCTTCCTAATGTTTAATCTAAACCTGCCCTCTGCCAGTTTAAATCCATCCCCCGTCGTCCTATCACTACGTGCCCTAGTAAAAAGTCCTTCTCCAGCTCTCCTGCAGGCCCCCTTTAGGTACTGGAAGGCTGCAGTAAGATCTCCCCGGAGCCTTCTCTTCTCCAGGCTGAACAGCCCCAACTCTTTCAGCCTCTTTTTTGTTTTGCTTAAGAATACCTTCTCATAGTATTTCGTAAGACACAAATGAAGTTGGACAGGCCTTATAAGGAAAATTTCAACCTCGGGTCGATCAAACTATTCCTAACATGGGGTTACCAGGTGACCTAAACATCTGCTCTCAGGCCCATCGGCTTGTCTTGGTATCTAATGCCAAGTGAGATCCCATCTCCTCATAAACTTGTGCTAGAATCTCAGCCCATAGTGGTCTCTGCCCTTCCTTGGGCACCAGGTCAGTTTTAAATGTAGCTTAAAGCATAGGAATACATTTTGTCGTACAATTTTATCCTGGTAAAAAGTTTTATTTTTTTAGAGAAATTTTTTTTTATATTAAAGTAATTTCACTTGCTGTTTATTTACACACTAATACTTTGTCAGTAGCAAAGTAAGTTCTCATATTGGTTTGTATATCACTTATGGGTTTTTTTAGCTGCACACCAAAATTGACCTAACAATGTCAGAATCCTTTGGGAACACTGCAGGAGTCCTTACATTTAGTATTATCTGGAAACATTCTGAAATTCCTCCCAAAGCAGCCTAATCCTGCACATCTTTGAATAAATGTTTGACTCCTACACTCACCTGTTACCCACCTGCCTGACCCCCAGCTCTTAGTTACTTCTGTAATTTTATCTCATCTTTATGCTCAAATGTGGTTTTCATTATATTTTTTGACTCCCATTCCTTTAAAAAAAACTCAAATGTGACCAAAACTTTGTTTTGTTCTTGCTTTTAATTTCCCTTACTTAACTTTTGCCCATTTTTTTCTTGTATATCTGCTGTTTACCTCCTTTTATCTATGTCCATTTCTTTCTAATCTGTTATTTCTCTGAAGTTCATTTTTTATCTGTGAGGTTTGGCTCCTTTCTCTCAACTGAGCAATTTAAAGCAGCTGTTAGCTCAGTGTCATCAGCCAGGGAAGCCTCGTTTGTGGTTGTTGTCCAACACTGGAGGCAGTAACCCCAAGCTCTGGTTTCTCTCTGTTTGCCTTTTCCAAGTTCTGTCTCCTCTCCCTTCTTCCAGGAGTACTGTCTCTATTCTTCTCCTCAGTCATCTCCTATCCCTGTAGTCTTAAGTTTCTTTTTTTCTCCACACCTTATCTTTCTTTATCAATATATTACCCATATTCCACAATTTTGGGAAAAAAAAAACAAAACCAAACAACAAACCAAACCAAACCCCAGTCCATGTACTAAACTCAGAAGACAGTAAAACCTGTATTTACATAGCCCCAAAAGACAAAATAGGTCAGACAATAAGCCAAGGAAAAATAGGGGTGAAGTGCTAGAGGTGCTTGGATAGAATTTGCCATAACAGAGATGGATTAATATGGATATATCACTCTAGCAAAAAGAAATAATTTAAATACTCAGGAAAAGATACTAGTAGAATTTTTGGAAGAAAATGTCTTTAAAGGTCATCATATGTTTCCCTCATATCCTTTTAATATTTTTTTGGGTTTTGCTTAACAGAAACAAAATTCTGATTACCTGCCATTAACTGTTTCTTTCTCTTTAGGAGTTTTGGGCTCTCCAGGATCTGGGTAAACACAAGTTATTTTCAGAATGGGTTACTATGTACCTCTTGAGATTAAATCGGTAAGTCTGATGCAGTTTCAAGTGTAAAAATAACACCAAGCGTGTATTTGCCAGGCGCAGGCAACTTTAATCTGCAATGTTTTTACATAATCTTTAGTAGGTCTGGTAAACTGCCTCAGACATGATTTCTTATCCCTTTTTTGTCTTTATGGTTCTAGATTGTGCTAGATTCCACAATAATTACTAGTGTAGTTCTGTTTTGACACACAGGTACAAAAAAAATGACATGGGAGGAGCGGTCTGTATTTGTTAACTTTCATCGAGCGACTGATCAGATTTCTTTGGTTAATAATTTTTGTTAAAATACCAGTCTTACAGGTTCAGTCCAAGAATCTGAAAGTTAGGCTTTGCAAATACATAAGAATGAATAGTGTTTCGCTACTGGTAATACATATATTTTTTACTATGTAATAATATGGTTTTAGGATGACAGGGGTTGGAAACTGAACAGTTGTGAATACACAGACTGTGTTTGGAAACAGCTGGTGTTGCATAGATAGGGACATGTATGTTAGAACTTCCTACCAATTCTTTTGTCTTAAATCAATAAAGAATGTGTATGTTTTTCTTGGTTATACGTGGTATGCATGGCTGATAGTAGTCAAAAGAAGTACATATCGGGCACTTGGAAATTTTAGTCAGTAAATGCAGTTCTTAGGACAAAAAGTGAATACAAGAAACAACACCTACAAGAAAGTGTGCAATTTTTGCCAAGTCTAATAATTCTTAGAGATTCACACCTGCTTCCACTGAACACAAAAGTAGAGCACTTAATGATTCTAATGAAAGTCAAATAAAGTATTTCTAAAAATAAATAAGCATAACCCTCATTAGCTAAAGCACTTTCTTTTTTCTTCTTTTGTTTTTTCACATATAGTAACACGGGTGATTCAGACACCAAGAGAAGAACACGAATGACAAGTGAGTAAAACAATCCAAAGGAATTCAGGTGCTTGGAGGTGGCAGCTATCTATTTACATAGGTTTCTTCAGTGTTAGTTATTTTTCCTTTTGAGGAGAACCAAAATGAACTGTCATTACACTGCTGCAAATATTGTAATACTGTGCAGTTGCTGTGGCTATGTCTGATTTCACCCATTTGTGTGATTGGAATCTAGCCACGCGTGTATGGCCAGACTTGTGAATATATATGTATTTTTTATATAAGCTAAATGATCAAAATGTTCCTTGGCTACAATGAGGTGCTCTTCCTCCTTAGGGATCCTCCTTTTTCCCTCCTTAAAAAAAAAGTAAATAAATCCTTAGTTTAAGTCCACATTTTAAAGAAATTGGTCTGGCCCAAACACCTTCTATTGTGAATACAGTTGTCATATCAGTTGACTGAGGCCTAAGAGCATGAGATCATGGAAGTGCACCACAACTTCTAGTCCAAGTTGCTCTTCTCTAGATTCTGCTGGTTTTGAAGGACAGAGCACATGTCATATTTCGAGTGACTGAAATGACAAGTGATGAAGATGTTATGAAGAAGGCTTTTCCACCAGTATTCACAAAGGCTGCTCTGCCCTGTGTCACACCCTATATGCATATAGACACTGAAGCACTCCAGCTCAGCTGTCCAGCTATGGTCTATTTCATATCAATCCTCACTTACCTACTTGTGTATTTTTTCTTTCCCTTACTTGTTGCTTACCTTTTTGTATTTCTTTTTTCTCTCACTTTTTTTTTTTAACCCCGTTTTTTACAATTTCCACCTGGGGGCTCAGGTGATGCCAGGCCTCCAGCTTGTTCTCCGCTTTGGTGCTTGTGGACTTGATTAATTTTTTTTTTTCCCTTTGATTTTCTTGAATAACTTAATTACTGGCACATGCAAACATGGTTGTCTGTATGTGTCATGTCTCAAGTGGGGCTTCACCGTAGTGTCTTGAAATAGTGGATGTGCTCTGGCTGCTCCCCAAGTTGTAACTCTTCATTGCAAAGTAGGGTGCTCCCTGAAAGGGCCCCTAGGATTTGATTTTTCTTGTGAGATGCCCTTCCTCTTCTGCTTTTCCTCAGTGCACACAACATCTTTCTTTGATCTTCCTTCCTTTAGCAGTCAGTGAATGTGTCAGTTTGCGTTGTTCAGAAGAACATTGTTCTTCTCTGGTGATGAACCCTTGATAACATCAGGAGAGATTCTGGTAGGCATCCTGTACTGGCTCAATGGACTAAGATTTGTCTGAGTGTTCAAATATTTCCAAACCCTTTCTACATGTTATAAAGTATTAAGGTTTGTGAAAGGCACCTGCGTTTTTTTCTGAACCTGGAGAAGAACCTCCTTACTTGTGAAAGGACTTTCTAGTCATGAAAGGAAGGTACTTTAATTCTCCAAGTTATTCTGAACACAAAATGGTAGAGTTACTGCCTTTAGCTGTCTGTCACAGCAGAAACGGCAGACAGGAAATTCTAAGAGTTAATTCAGGGAGAGATTTTTTTTGATCTGCAGTGAGCTGTGGTAAATTTGTGAAATTTGCCTGTAAAAGACACATCAGCAACTGAAAATCTCTGGACAAAAGAGAGTGAAGGAAATGGAGGATCTGATCAAATTTTGCATGAGGTATTATACGCTTCAGTGTTACACTACTTTGCAGGGTGTTTTATTCTCATTTCTAACAGAAATGGCTGTACTCTTTTGTTAGATACTGGTTGGCCGCTTTCTTCAAAAGCTTTAATTGATTTAGTAGGAAAATGGCAGGAGATAGCAATGACTTTCAGTAATAAGATAGTAAAAACTATGTAGGGCAGAAATTATCATCACGTGGACCTTCATGTTTGCATCCGCATTTTCTAACCAAGGCTCCATCCATTTTTAAGAATACTTCTTACAATTTTACGTGCACTTTTAGAAAGTTAATATGAAAACAGTTACCAAGAAGAAAGATTTGGTTTGTTCTTTGTATTTTGGAAGGGTTAAGAAGTTGCAACTGTGAGGCTGAGGCTCTTAGCTCAACTACTGTTTCAAGGTTTTGAGCTCCTCTATTTTCCTCAGCTAAAATGCAGTGCTGAAAACTGTCTAAACACACTTCTTATTTTTCTGGTTGTTTTGGTCTGTTTTTAGAGAAGATTGTGACTCTCTGAGTTTTTATTCCAAATGAGAAAGGATCTCAGTTTGGGGATGATCTGCAAACCAGCATTGTGATTTTCTACGCCTATGTCGGGGGATCATATAGTGCAGGAGACAGACAAAACAGATAGAAGGTGTGGACTACACGTGTGGTAGTGGTCTTAGTTTTGGTAGCAGTACAAAACTCAATATGCAAAGATTAAGTACAGTACAGTTAAGTTCGGTACAACTGAGCTGAGCTGCAGTACAACTTGCAGCACAAATCTGTCTCAACTCAGTCAACTGTGCATTTTTACCCAGCACTTCATGTTAAAGCCAAAACTGTCAGGGCTCTATAGATTTTTATGTGGGTTGGTAAGTCCCACTAAATTTCTTATTGCTGTCTTTAGAATTGACTGACCTTGAATATATTGCCATTATCACCTCGTTATTCATCACCTTTCCCTCATCATTAGTAAGTCTAGTAAAATATCTCATGTCCCAAAGTACATTACCTTGAAGCATTTCAGGTTGATCACTTACCTCATTTTTTTCTCTTCATTTAGTTTTTAGTCCTTAGCAGCACTTTATCTTGTACTGCCTAAACGTAGTTCCTTAGGATTTGATCAAAAAGTTTTGACAATCCAAATCTCTGTACAAGTCTATCATTGTATTTCTTTATAAAAGAAACATGTAAAAAAACCTGTAGACCAGATGAGAAAATGTTCGTAAGGGCACAATTTTTTTTTCTGCTTTGTCCTTTTCTTATTTGGCTTGTCTTATTCTCTCATAATTATCTTGTCACTTGTGTTAATTACAGATATTTTTAACTCCACTGTGAAACTTGTCAATTTGTGATTGTTAAGAATATATTTCTGGGACAAATACTCTCCTGCTACTATGAGTCATGGTTTTAATGTGAATTATCATTTTTTGTATGAGTCATATGTTAACTTCTCCACCTTTAAAATATTCTTTTTATATTGTTATCACACTTTACTATTGAAAAACCATTTACTGGATTAAATCAAATACTTGGCCAGAGCCAATTACTTTACCAAGTGGGAAAACACTATTTTTTTAGCAGTTAGGGCAGAGTGTTGTTATGACTATGTAAAGGTTATCAGGGTTCCAAATAGCCAGTCTTATTTATAGGCTTCAGTTTAACATATGTAAGTACACACAGAACAATGGTAATGTGAAAAAGATGAATGTCTGTATCTGGGTGGATTGCATCTCAGCCTTCATGCTCATGGATATTGTGCCGAATCATGTTCTGTTGCCTGGGCAGCTTTTATAAAGGAGGGAGTGGCTGTGCCACATGAGATGCTCCTGATTTCAGCCCATGTTCTGATTTTGTGAGAGCGCTTCACCTTCTCTCTTCTGGCAGGAGCAGGAGCAATCAGAGTTGAGCACTTAGAGCATAGAGTGATATTTTATTTTTTTTTCCTTTACTTTTCTAAATAACATAAAGACCCTTTGTGTAATGCTGCTGTATGGCAAATCTTGTGGCTTAAAATGGCTATCGTTCAGTTCCAAAGATAAATAATTTAATTGTATTGTGATACATACAATAATCATGCAAGTGTTGTTTCACTGATTACATAGCTTCAGTAAATTCTAGTTTGTTACCTGGTTCAATGGTGCTTTTTAGAAGGAGTGGTTATTACAGAGAAGTCTGTTCACTGCGCTAAGCACTAATTCTGCATGGGGAGCTATTAAATATGAATAAAGTTCTGTGATTGTCTAATCACAGAACCTTAGGAGGAGCCAGTCGTAGCTTTTCTCAAAGGCATCAACTTGTCTTGGTAGTCAGCTAGGATAAACAAGTTACGTTTGCAAGCTGAAGAAGCAGTACAAGGATGTGCAAGAAGAGAGTGAATTGGGAAATGGAAACAGATTAAGTTTAATCCTTTCATGCAAAGCATTGTTTCTGATCATCCCCCTCCTAATATAATTTATTATTTGTAAATAAAATAACATCATAACTAATTGACTAGAGGAACTGAGGGAACTTTGGGATGGTTATTTTAATACTCTGCTTTCTCTAATACTCTCTTTCAAATATGCTGTGAGGGTATTTATAAGAATATTTTGTAAAGCTACATGGAGTTTTTGAAAGAAATATATAAAACTAATGTTCATTCATCTAAAACTTACTGGGACATCAATGGAAAGGGAAGGAACACACAAAGTTTGTGTATATCCATAAATCACAGACTTTTGGTTTCAAGGCCATGGGTGAAATGCCTCCGGTATCACTAATTAATCTCTGAATTTGGGAAAATATGCAGACGAATGTCAAATTAAGATTTACAATGCAAGCTTAAAATGTTTGTTACAATTAATCTGTAACATTCTTTTCATCATTACTTAAAGGGAAAACTTTCTGAAGTAGAATCTTGGGCTTTAATTGCGAGCAATTTTATGAGTAGTGTTGACATTATCTGCTAAAAAATTGATAACAAAAGCCATGTGTGCTTATGAGAACTGTCCTTGGCATACAGTTTGACAGAACTCCTTTTATGATTGTTAGTTGCTGTCTTGTAAGATATAACCTGGTTTACTCCTTCAGCAGTTTCATTTTTGGTGTCCCTACAATCTCCCTACCACTAATTAGACACCATCAGCCTGGAACATGCCAGAGAAGCAGTGCAGCCATCATGGGTGTTTCCAAAAAGATAGAGCAGTGTGGAAAAAATGGGGGAACCTCCCCCCACCCGAAAATGAAAAGGAAAGTGGAAAAAGTCATTTCTAAAAAATATACATCGGAAATGCAACATCAAAGGCTTTTATGGCTAAATTTTTCATACGTTGATATAGAAGGAATATCTAAGTACACAGACTTTAATTAATATCTTAATAATTCCTTTTTAAATTAAGTAATATAATATTCATTTTTATGATCTCCAGGAAGGTATTGACAACATTGAAATACACTTTTCACCAATGTAGCAGGAACGTAGCAGGAACCTAGGGCACGGTAAACTCATCACATTTGAAAAGTCTGCTGGTGTTCGTAACAGGAGATCCTTTGTGTATCAGTGTGACGTTCTATACTACTCTAATTTTTGTTTGGTACCTTGGCATTACTGATTGTGCAAGTTTAAAAATTCCTTTTAGCAGCTCATAAAAATAAATAGATTGATTCACTCCTTTTCCTTTTTATGCATTTTTTTCCCCATTTATCTCCAAATTAAACCTTTAAGATTTCAATTACATGTTTCAATGACTGTGTTTTCCTTTTGTTGAATACATCTAACTAAATTTAGCATGATTTACTTTTGGTTTCAGCTGTTAATCCTAGATACGTCCTTAGGAATTGGATGGCAGAATCAGCAGTGCAAAAAGCTAATTTGAATGATTTCTCAGAGGTAAAATTCTTTGTTTCTTGACATACTTATGAATAATTGGCATAATTGTTAATGAAACAGTTGTTGCATTTGCACTTTGAATTTATACTACACTTTGACCAACATTATACTATCTAATCCCAACTACCATTAAAAATATTAACAAAATTATTAATAGCATTAATTATAACATAAACAGTAGTGATTTTATTGATAGTAGTACTAATAATAGTTAGCAACTCATATAATAGTTTCTGGAGCCAGGAGGGTGCATAATATGAAGTGGCAAAAACTCTTCTTGTTTGCAGGAAAACATTTTGTATAAAAACTTACCCTTTGAATTGCTTCCAGGTTCGTCTTCTACAGCAGATTTTACAACGTCCCTTTCAGAGACAGCAGGCTGCAGAGAAAGCAGGCTACTCCCTTCGCCCCCCAGCTTGGGCCAAGGACCTCAAAGTAAGCTGTTCATCCTGAGAGAAATTTGAACGCGCCAGAAAAATGATCGAGGTCAAAGCTCAGGCCTTCGAATAGGATTAATGGATCAAGCCACAGGAACTTCTCTCCCATATACTTTGTGGACTGGAATCTGCTACTCTGCTAGGCAAGTCAAGGTCTTGACCAACTTTATAAAGTCTAAAGACTAAAGAAATGGACCACTGTGTATGGTTGCATCAGCAAATTGTATTGGTGTTTATAAAACTGCCCTTCATATTCAGCTGTGCATTAATTTGAGTTATTTAAGTTCTGCCAAATTGTCACACTTCGTCACAAATTGTCTCAGAATTCATGGCTGATCAGGTGGGTCTCAATAATTTTTAATGGCTGGTCAATTTAAAATCCATCTAAAGTAGTTTTAATCAAACAGTATTTTGATGAATGTTCTCTTTGCCGTTATACACTGTTCAAATAGAATTATTCTGAAGACATAAGTGTTCTTAAGTCTTTTGCAGCGTTGGAACAGAGGATCATCTTACACTTAGACCTTTTCTCTTTTTGACCTTGTTTTGTCCCATTAAACTACCAAGAAAGATTTAAAGGAAAGTCAGTTAAATAATGAGCAACGATGTCTGTCTTGGGAGTGACTTGCCCAAAAATAAATTTTGATGTCTTTGTCAGGTGCCGTTCAAGCCTGGCCCACTGCTCTTGGGAAGTGTATCTTTTGATAGTAGTAGAAAGATTGGTGCATGGCTATAAAGCCTCAGGAAATTTTTTTACTGGTTGGACATGGAAAAAGGACTTTCTTGGAAGTATCTCACTATGTATGTAGTCAGGTCAATATACCTTTTGTATCCAGCTACCTGACGCTGTAAGGGACTAACAAAAATCTTGCAAGGCAAGTTATTTAAAATTCAACTGAAGCTGTTACAGAGAGTAACAGAGAGAGACCAGTCTTTGAGTCCTTGGTCTTGTTATTTATCCTTCTTCGATACCCCCAATTCCACATCACAAAACTTGGTGTGTAATTAAGCCAAAATTAATACATCAGCAATCAGGTCCAATGTTATGCTAGAAAATTTACAGCAAAATTCACTTATCTGGGGGCTTTGTTACTTCTTGACATTACCTTGTTTCTTCCCAAATCCAAAATGGATTGTTTTAGAATCTCCAAATTTCTTGATTCTGAAATTGAGTCTATTAAGTGTTATAATTAGCATTTCACAAATCTATTTCTAGAAATATAATAAAAAAATTGTATCAGAAATCTTTCAGTGACTAAAAAAAATAATTGAATGCCTTTACTTCTTAACTATAATCAATACAATTATTCAGCATGATTTCCTCTCAGATATACGTCTGTTCAAATATAAATACAGTTGTTCAAAAGTAAATAGCAGTATCATAGTGTGAGGCACAATATAGATACTTAAATACAGTTTTCTGAAAGTCCAGACTGAAGTTTAAGCAACTTGCACAAGTTCAGCCTGGTAGAACATTCCTTTGTGCAGGTAGTAAGTGCTCTTCTGCAACCATTGGGATTAGCGTTTGGGCTGGCAACACCTCCAGATGAACGGAGTGGGCTGCTGGCGGGGCTGCAGAAGCCTTTCAGCAGTGGGCAGCATTCCCAGCCTACTGAAACACCGGCGCTGGTGTCTGTTCTGGGATAATTACAAGCAAAATAGCATGTTGTGATGACATGTGTGAACGTCAGCATTACCACCTGCTGTGGAGCGAGTTACAGTGCAAATAAGTGATGATTTGAAGATGAACGTATTTGTGCCTGCAGGGAAAATACAGCAGCGCTGCAACTTGGGCCCTGGTTTCCAATTAGGTGAAAGGAAAGAACTCTAATTTATCCGGCAAGTTTCTTTTGTGTGGGGGCCAAACACGGCTGCCTGTACATCTTTACGTCATAGAATAATTGCATAAATACAAAGCACTTTAAAACACTTTGAAGGAAAAAGTAGTATAATAAATGTTAAATCCTGTTAGTAACTGTAGGAAGTGAACCTCTGCTTCACCCATAGTTACAGGTAAACAAAGCCTCCAGCATCACGATATAAAACCAGAACATCCCAAATGGGAACTATTTTCCAGGCAGCAATATGTCCTGCCCACTGTGCTCATTGTGAGGCTTTTCTCAGGGTCTTGAAAATCGTGTGCAAGAATGAAGCAAGCCCTGAAAATTGGTTTCACATATTCCTCTGGCTGCAGAGAGTAGGTCAGCTACTTATTTTCTCCAGTTCATTCATGGACTCAGACATGTCCTCTTTCAATGATTTATGTGAAAGCAAATCTCTGTTATTCCCCCCTCCCCCTCCCCGGTTTTACCAAGTGGTCTATATTGCCTGTTTTTAGTAATCATTCTGATTTCATAATAGTCAGTACTGGCTGTTAATAGCAATCAAACTACCTTAGAATATTCTGCAAGACCATGAGAATTCTTAAGACTTGATGATAATGAATCTTTTCGGCGTTTCTCCCTCAAACAGAATATGCATGTTTCCCAGTTACGGTGAGACTGTCAGTGATAACCCATGAATAATAGTTCTGTCCTGTAGTTTTGCCACATCATCCATTTAAGTTTCTACTTTTCCACTCTCAAAGTGCCTGACAAAGTGTGTGTGAAAAATGCATGAAGAATAGTTATCGCAACATTACCTTTTAACTATGTTTTGTAAAAGTAGAGAAATGAGCCCACATCACGCTCAGCATTTTGTACCACCTCCCTTTCCACTTCTAGGTTTTAATCATTATGGTTTATTGTAACAATGTAAGCATTAATACTGTTTCATGATATATTCCCTAAAATCCTTGGCTTCCACCAAGTTGCTGCTTCCTTCATGTTATGTAAACACAGCAGTGAAGCAAGAGCAGATGGGGAATAAAAATACTGTGGCTGGTAATCAAACGGGTGTTTATTTGTACTCATCCTCTTTCTGCAGCAGAGGGCAGTTACGAGGGGCAGCAGTGTTGATCCCCCCACATGTGGACTTTTCCACGATTCTAACCTTTCTAATCCTAAGGACTGATGGAAAAGTGGTCGCTTGAGGTAGGTCCTTCTTCCATATCAGCGATATAAGAACCCAAAGACAACAGCTGCTGAAGCTGCTCCATCTGAGGTATGGAGCAAGGTTAAACATAAAATGCTGCAATTTCAGGTCCTTTCAGACTAAAATACTGTAATCTCTAGTAATGTGCATACTACTGCGAGCTACAGGAATAAGACAATTTCATATGGCAATAGGTTAGACAGAGGTGGAAGGATTAATTTCTATTTTTTAGAAAGACTTTGATTTACAGTCTCAGAAAGGCAGATCTTTTTGTATTTTCCAGCATCTTTTTTTGTACCAAATGAAGCCAGATAATTGCGTATCATTAAGATGGTAGCTCTGTTCTTTGAATGGAGAGTTTAAATACTTACATTTCAGAAATTCAATGCAGCCGTGTACATACACAAAATAGTTGATAGTGATCTAATCATCACAGCATTTTAATTGATTTCTGGAGTTTTCTGTAGGCTTTGATTCTTTTTGTTTTGAAGAAAGCTCAACTTTTTCTTTTGTGTAAGACTAAGTGCGTGAGTTATGATTGACTGCAGATGTAAAAAAAAATTGAGTTTATTGTGCTGTAACAAAAGAGAAGGGAGGAAACAGGGCAGGAGGCTGAGGTGAGAAGAGTGAATGCTAGGAAAGCCATGTAGAAGTCAGTACTTTGTGAACTCAGAGAAATCACCTTATGGCACAGGATTTTTCTAAGGACGTGTTCTGCTTTATTGTGATGCTGGGTATATATTTCATAAAAGAAAATTCATTTGTTTTAAAAATAGTTGGATAGCAGACAGCTGTTGTCACCTAAGTGTGTGGAAGATGTGCGCTCCCAATACGTTGTCAGAAAATGACATCCAGCATTCGGTAATTCTGCATTATGCTTACCTCCGTTACATATGGAAAACAACTGGGAAACATTAATCCTTTGGGCTTTTTAAGGCCTAGTTTTAACCCTCCTACTTTTAGCTAGCTAGTATTTTTTCTCCTGCGCTTAGAACTAAAGCTTGTGGTAAGCTTATGAGCCTTGCACTGCTCTCAAGAGCATTTCTCAGTTTGGCTGTTTGGAGATGACAGGATACCCTTTGAATGTTCGGCATGCCAATTCAAAACTTGTAGGTGATGTTTGTGTTCCTGGTGAACATAGTTTACTTGGCGAGAGCTTTTTGCTCAGTTTGGTGAAAGCAAGGGAGCTAGAAGACCAGCAAGAGTTGCATGGGTTCTCTGTATTGGTAAGTAAAAGGCACAGAAATGAGTCCCTCGGCCCACAAACTGGTACGCTAACTGGCCATAGCCACACCACAGGGGCTCTCTATACGGGGAGCAAAACCTGCTTTAGACTTGTCCGTGTTGTCTTCTGGTGCCTGGCCTGGGCAGTTCCTTAAATTGCGCCTGGGACTGTGCTTAGGCCCACTTTGGCAGCATGGGTGAGCATGAGGCCAGCGCTCAAGCTTGCATCCATGTCCTCTTATTTAGCAGCAGAGACACAGGTGTACGAGCTGTAGCATCTTGCTAGTAGTGCTCGCTCCTCCACCACAGGCTGCAGAGCAAATGGTTAACAGCAGTTGAAAGACATCCCCCCATCCCCATATCCCTGATGGGAGCTTCACTTACTCTTCCAATGCTTATGCTGCTGCCAAACCAAAGAAAGGCAGGAGGAACTGGGGGGTGGCTGTCCCATGGCTATACCCGAGTAACTCTGGGGACGGGCACGATTACTGCAGGAAACACATCCCTTAGTTTCAGCTTGTCTCAACTGAAAACAAATTAAGTTGCAGGATGTCACATAAACTTTTTTTTTTACTGACTCATCTGGCACTTCCCTGGCTGAAGCATCCCTGTTCTGAAACACCTTCTGTGCAGCTCTAAGTTCCTCGTGTCCATCACCACCCACTGCAGCGGCTCCTTCCGAGAGTCTGTGCTTTCACTCCCACTGCTGTGAGCCGGTGCTGCCCAGTCCTCCTGGTGCTGGCACAGACATGTTCTGCC